AAAATGAGATCCTATCACTTTATAAAGTTGTATTTAATATAAACAGTAATACATGATAAAGCTATTTAAGGGCTTACTACGCTCTAGGCACTATGTTGGGCACTTTACATCCATCTCCTCGAATTGTCAGAGCCATCTCAACAAACGCCCGTCTCCACTTGTCTATTCTCTTCCGCCGGCGAGTGCAGTGCGGGGTGGGCGGCGCTGGGGGTAGGGACCCACCTCTGGAGCCCCCACCCACCACCACCCAGCCAGCTGGCAGACCACGCCTAAGGAAGGGCGGCCCTGGGGTGGGGGGAGCCGGTTTCCAGCCGGACCGCGTCCCTGGGAGCTCCCGAGTGCCGCGCCTGCGCGCTCAGCCCGTCGCCGCGCCAGCCCTGCGGACGTGCGCCCGTAGCCTTCGCGGCGTCTGGGCCCTGAGATGCGCGCCTACCCGGTCCGTGCCAGCTCCAGGTGCGTGAGGAGGACTTGAGGAGTCCGTGTGTGAGGTGGAGCGATCCTCGGGAAGGGTCGGGCCTGCCTCGATCCCTCCAAGGTGTCCGGGGACCCATAGCGGGGGCGCCAAGACCTCAGCCCCCTTTCCTTTTCCACTTCCCCGCCTCCCGACTGCGTCTCATGGGGGACGGCAGTCTGTCTCCTAGAGGAAGGCGCAGAAAGGATGCTTTTCCCCTGCTGTGGGTCAAGTCGCCTGTGGCATTTTTCCCCTGGCTGCGGCCAAAGCAGTTTTCACCCTTCCTTTCCTAGTGTGGGATTTTGCAGTCTCTGGATTCGGCTGGACCCCCTAGGTGCTTATTGGTTGTGGACGATTAGGGCGACGGCCAGATGTCAGGGTCCTCTGTCCATTTCAGCCCCTCGAGGACGAGAGGTGAGGGTTCAAGGCCACGAGAGTGGGCCAGGGGAAGTGGGGCAGAAACGGCCACAAAGGAGGAAAGGTTGTGATCAATGTCGCCAGAGATTATTCCCCAGCTGGAAGTGATCCAAGTTTCTCTCCGGTCTTTTTTTGTTCACTTGCTTTTTGTGAGATCCTTATTTCGCTTTGATGGTGTTAGGTAAGGGTAAAAAACCAACAGGCTTTCAGTCGGGAAGCGTCTTGGAATTTTTTAAATCGGTTTTTACAGTCTTCCAACAGAGTGTTGTCTTGGCAGTTGTCATAATAATCTTCAGGTTGAACCTCTGAGGTTTACTTTTTTTTAATTTTCAATTTAACATAGAAAAAAGAACATGGTGTTGGCTTGGTTTTGTTTGTTTGTTTCTTCTTTGGGATTACCAACAACAAAAATATCAATTGAGAGCACAGAGAATCAGTTGAAGTGGGATTTGGAGCTTTATCAAATTAATATGCACCCTGTGTAAGTACACAGGGTACTGCACTTGGAGCATTGGGGATCCCGAAGCTATGGCTTATAAATAGCAGATGAGATCACTGGTTGCCATCAATGGTTCCAACAGTACAGGGCTCCCAGTAAGTGCTTTCCCACATGGTGTGAAGGCAAGTGACAACAGAATACAGTTTTAGTGCTAGTGGTAGGTGATCAGCCATAGACACTTTCTGGCATAGGAACCCTGTTAGAATCGGAGGTGGTTGTTGTATGTGGTGCAAGTGTGGGATTTTTTCAAGAGTATTCCATGGAAACTATTAAAGAGGAAAACTATACAGTAGGAATCGAGGAGGTCGGCTGTAGGCCAGAATCCTTTGTGTGATCTTTCAGGCCCGACTGTAGACAATTGCATGGTTTTGGCTGGCTGGCCTTCTGGAGGAAACTGCCCTCTTCACACCAGACTTGTGCATGGCCAGTTTCTGGGGGGAGTTGCAGTCAAGGACTCATTCCTTCCCTCCTGCTACCCAGGCTTATACTAGATTGCATTGTTGGCTCAGGTACCTCCATTCTGAAGATCTTGGCTGAAGTATTTCCCAGGTGCCTCCGTGCCCACCAAGACCTCTTTGGGTAGGTAGGGGGAGGGACTTGCTTGAGGTACTTTTCTCCATTTTGACTCAGGACCTTTCCACTCCTTTGTCTTCCCTTCCTTCGTCTTCCCCTGGCCCACAGATCCATGAGGAGGCAGAAGCCTTTTTGTTCTGGCCTCCTCTGCAGAAAGATGATTGTGTGCACTGCATCCATCTGATCCTCACCTAGTGTACTTCTGTTTAATGCACCCTGGGGAACCAGTACTTGTTTTGCCTTTTGCTTGCACTGTGGCAGTAAGTGAATAAAGGCCTGATTATTACTTTCATTTTGGCTCATTGTCCTAATTGACCACCTTGACACCTGATAGCTCGACAGGAATGAAATAAATTGCCAAGTTCTTGGCAATTTACCGGATTCATGACTTAATTTTAATACCCCAAACTGTTGCTGTGTTAGCATGTTTAGGGATTTGGAGGTTGTTCACCAGTAACTCCGTGTAGTGAAAATGCATATTAATAGCACCAACAGATGATTGTCGCTAACATGGATATCTGCGTTATATAGTACATTTTGTAAATTAATATAGTGGCTTGTAGTCAGAGTCTTTTATTTTGCATAGACTAGTGTGGCATATTCCATTTGGCCTCTAATTAAATGTTTTGACAAATTTGGGGGGTTATATGGGCCAAGTGAAGAAAATCAGATACTGTTGCTTTCCTTAGTAATCCTGTCTCATCCTGTGGGCCTCAATCTTACCTAATAGATTATTTGGTTACTTTGAATAAAGTAATTGATTTGTTGTGGGTTCCTCTGTCTAGTGTTGTCTGAAGAGATAATACCAGGAACAGCTTTCACAAACTTTCTTCATCTTTATACAGAAGTTTCACAAAACCGTATTTATCTTTATTTGTAATACAATCTGATATATTCTACTTTTTATTAAACAAAATTGCTGATCATAACCCACTATATTGATTTCATAATCCATTAGCGGGTAGCGATGTACACTTTGAAAAACAGAGATAAAGCAACTGGTAGAAGATACTTGCTCAGTAAATGAATTTTTCCATGTTTCTAATTCACATTGCTGAATAGAACCACAGTGGGTGTGTTTGTGCCTTTGTGTTTAAGGTGTCTTCTAGGAGATGGCAGTTAATAGCAAATAGCATATATGTTGAATATTCGCCAGATCAGCTGACAGAAAGAAGAACGCGGAGTTTCTGGTAGATTGATCAACTTTCTGATCTCAAGGAGAAAATACATTAGATGAGAAAGCTAGAGGAGGTTTTTTTTTTGTTTTTTTTGTTTTTTTTAAATCTCTGATCCCCTTATTTAAGGTAGTAAAAGGATTAGAAGAAAATTGGTCTCTGATAAAAGGGAAGATAGGTTTTTGTGAAAATACCTGGTAAACTTTCGCATGTGTCCTCCAGGGGGATATTGGAGAAAGCATTTTTATCTTCATATTAACTTCAAGACCAAAATGATCCTTTCATTATATTGTCTGAAAAGTGAACCACACTCAACTTTCAAATTACTTAGCCATTGATAAATACAGAAGTAGCCAATTTGCCTCATTGCTTTTGTACATGTCTTTTGAGAGCTGAACAACAAAATGCAAAGAAGACATAACTACAAATTTAGTTAATGTATTTATTTCTTAGGTAGAAACCCTAAAAAATTATGCAGACAAGGATAAAGCTTTAAAATTTGATTAGTGTTGAGCTAAGTAATACCTTACATTTGTGTATTGCTTCATAGTTTTCCAGCACATTCAGATGCATTATCTCCATGATTCTCACAACAACTTGATATGGTAGGCAGGCCAGGAGGCATTTTCCCCATTTTAGAGATGAAGAATCTGTATTTCTTTCTTTCTACCACTGAGATCATATGGTGACAAATCTAGGACTAGAACCCCAGTTATCTGGGCCATTTTCCCCCAGCTGTCCATGTTGTCTTTGTTGGTCCAAAGAAGTAATTAAAAGTAAATACTGTTATGGGCGCCTGGATGACTCAGTCAGTTGAGCAGCTGACTCCATTTAGGCTCAGGCATTGATCCCAAGGTCATGGGATCAAGCCCTGCATCAGGCTCTGAGCTGAGCATGGAGCCTACTTGGGATTCTGTCTCTCTCTCCCTCTGCCCCTTTGCCCCGTTCACACTCTCTCTATATAAAAATAAAAAAAATAATAATACTGTTAATGAGGTGGCTAAGAAATCCAACTTTGGTATCTGAAACATTGCCTTCTCAGATTGTGCCCATGATATGCTATAATTAAATGCAAATACATCTTATTTTTAGTATTATATTGTAATTCTTACACTTCTTACCTGTCTAGATTAATTTTTTTTAAATGACAGAACAAATACTGACAAAGCTACTTACTAGAGAACTAGGAAAATTGGAATTAAAAGGTCTATTTAATGTTAAGAAATTCATTTCAGTCCCCTTTTAATGCATTATCTCAATTAGAAATCCAACTTTATATTGATTTTTAGATATATATTTTTTAATTTATTTTTTTAATTTCCCTCTCTTAATGTTTATTTATTTTTGACAGAGATAGAGAGCATGAGTGAGGTGGAGGAGGGGCAGAGAGAGGGAGATGGGATCCAAAGTGGGCTCTGTGCTGACAGCAAAAAGCCCATTGTGGGGCTTAAACTTAGGAACTGCAAGATTATGACCTGAGTCGAAGTCAGACGCTGAACCAACTGAACCAACCGGGCGCCCCTAATTTTATTTTTTTTAAGTAAACTCTATACCCAACTTGGGTCTTGAACTCACAACCCTGAGATCAAGAGTCCTATGCTCTATCTCCTGAGTCAGCTAGACGTCCCTAGAGATTTCTTTAATTTAAAGACTCATCATTTCTATGTATGAAGTTAGTTTTATGATTCTAAAGTATTCATCTAAAATAGTTGTTAACTTACTTATAAACATAGAAAAAGTCCAGGTTCCTCTCTACCCTTAATATCTTTAGCCAAAAGACAAATTATTTCTTTTCATATGAATAAATTTTAAATTAATACATTTTTATTTTTAATTTTTAGACATCTGTGGAGTTTAAGAACATGGAGTTCATCAGAGTATATCACTGAAGAATATGATGGCTGAAAACAATTTAAAAATGCTAAAGATTCAACAGTGTGTAGTAGCCAACAAACTACCTAGAAACAGGCCATATATTTGCAATATTTGCTTCAAGCACTTTGAAACGCCATCAAAATTAGCTAGGCATTATCTCATTCATACTGGTCAAAAGCCATTTGAATGTGATGTGTGTCATAAAACTTTTAGACAACTGGTTCATCTGGAGAGACATCAACTAACTCATAATCTGCCTTTTAAATGTAGCATTTGTCAACGCCACTTTAAAAATCTGAAGACGTTTGTGAAGCACCAACAACTTCACAATGAAACCTACCAGAATGACGTTAAACAGGTCAGAAGATTGCTGGAGGCCAAGCAAGAAAAGCCGGTATATGGGATGTATCATACTTTTACCACAGAGGAAAGATGGGCATTACACCCGTGCTCTAAATCTGATCCTGCATACAGCCCTACAAAGAAAAGAAAGAATATTCATGCATGTACGATCTGCGGCAAGATGTTTCCATCACAATCAAAACTTGATAGGCATGCACTTATTCATACTGGTCAGAGGCCTTTTAAGTGTGTCCTGTGCAGTAAGTCTTTCCGACAGTCAACTCATTTAAAAATTCATCAACTCACGCATTCAGAAGAAAGACCTTTTCAATGTTGTTTTTGTCAAAAAGGATTTAAGATTCAAAGCAAACTTCTGAAGCATAAACAAATCCATACCAGGAATAAGACCTTTCAGACTCTTTCATTAAAGGTGAAGAGTCCAGAATCATGCCCGCTGCCTAATAAATTAAATGCAAAGCAGGATAGTTTGGAAAATGGTGATTTAGGTGAATCTGAGGAGAATAATCCACTTGATGTCCACTCTATTTATATCGTCCCTTTTCAGTGTCCAGAGTGTGAAGAGTGTTTTGAATCAGAGCAGATTCTCAATGGACATAAGTGTTTTCCTGCCAGAGGTGGCAAAATGCCAAGCAGGCTCAAAAGAAGCTACAACTATAAAACCGTTGTTAAAAAAATCTTGGCTAAACTTAAACGTGCTGGGGGTAAGAAATTAGATAATCTTCGATCTGAGAAAAAAGTATTTAAAAACAATTTCTTGGAAAATTGTGATCTTATTTCCGGTGAGCAGAGCCCTGAACAAACCCAGAGAACATTTATGGGCCCTCTTGGCAAGCATGGAACATACAAGACAGTTGGCAATAAAAAGAAGAAAACATTGACTTTGCCATTTTCTTGGCAAAAACACTTCCAGAACCAAAATGTGGGTAAAAACTTGAAAGGTATCCTTACGACAGAAAACATGTTAACTATAGATAATTCAGCGAATAATAAAGACGTATCTATCTACGGTTCATCAGGTGAGGAATTCTTTAATAACTGTGAAGTGCTTCAGTGTGGTTTTTCAGTTCCAAGTGAAAACCTACATACTGGACATAAGATGTGTCCTTGTGACAAATGTGAGAAAGTGTTCCCTTCTATATCCAAACTACAAAGACACTATTTAATTCATACTGGACAGAGGCCTTTTGGCTGTAATGTTTGTGGGAAATCTTTTAGACAGTCAGCTCATTTAAAAAGACACAAATTAACTCATATTGATAAGATTCCTTATAGACGATCTCTTTGCCAAGTAGAATTTGAAAATTTGAACCAACTTCTCATTCATCCAGGTGATAATATTAACTATAATGCTTCCCAACAATGTCAGACTCCCGGTTTCCAAAAATATGAGGCCTCAGAGTCAGATCAAATATCAGAAATAAAAGTTAAGGCAGAATCGGAGGATTTCATTCTTAGTCCCCCCTATAGGAACAGGCAGCCCTATCTCTCTAGTGTACTTTTGCAGTCAGAACAGAGCCATCACGGTCACTGTTGTGGTTATTCAGGGCGGGCGGAGAGGAATGATGGCCTTCTCTACCAATGCAGCGTTTGTTCCAAGAGTTTTAGATCTCCATCTAAACTGGAAAGACACTATCTAATTCACGCAGGGCAGAAGCCATTTGAATGCTCAGTCTGTGGCAAAACATTCAGACAGGCTCCTCATTGGAAGAGACATCAACTTACTCATTTTAAGGAGTGACTAACCACAAGAGAAAGTGGTTCTCAAAGTCAGTTATGTAACTGACAGAACCAGTAACACATTCGTAGTCTCTGATAATCTTGGTCTTAAAGCTTGTATCATTTAAAATGTATTTTTACCAAAAGGCCTTCACTAGGTTGGGTGATTTCATAGGCAGTTGCTTGTTCTGCATAGTAGGAAGCAAGATACAGTACATAGAAAATTAATAGGATGTTTTAGGAACAGCCAAATTAAATTTAGGGGGAAGAACATGGTTTGATGCCACACAGTAAGCATTTATTTTATTTTAATATATACTTTGGCTGTACTGAAAATATAAATCCAAGATGTGGTACAATAACTCAGTTCATTCATTTTTTTTTAAAGGACTTATTCCTTAAGGCATGCCATCTCCTTAAGACTGAGAGGTAAAAATTGGTTTTTAGCTGCAGCAAATAGCCCCACTACATTTTACTTGTTTCATATTTCACACGAAAGCATAATTTTGTCCACCTATGGCTCAAATTCCATTGCAAAATTTTTTTCTCTTGTAAGTAAAAAATACAAAAGCAGTAAAAGTGAAGATGGATGAGAAAATCACAGTATTATTTTCATTGGTCTTTTGCAAGCTATTCTTAGGATTCTGGTAGCTTCACCTCCTTTTCCACAAGTGATTAGAATTGGTTGTTTGCCCAGCTTGCTGTTTTTCCCAAATTTAAAAGTAGGAGAGAAGTTAGTATGGCCGTGTATACATTTACCATGTTTACTTATCAGGAATATTGTCCAAGTGCCATAATCTCTCTGATGTTCTGTATGCAGTGTTATCTTTTCAGAGGAATAAATGCAATTCATCTATTTACTTGGTGATTGACATCAGTAGCTAGAGACTTAAGACTCCCCTCTAGATCTGCATCTCCCTAAGACTTTGATTTACTTTAGTAAAACTTTGTTTTAATGCCTCATGCATTGGGTGGTCATATGACTTAAGTAAATCTGTTAAGTTTGATCAAATGGCAATGACTAGGTCTAGTTCTAGTTTATTTTCTTTTTAATTTTTTTTAATGTTTATTTATTTTTTGAGAGAGAGTGAGAGCATGAGTGGGGGAGGGGCAGAGAGAGAGATGGAGACACAGAATCTGAAGCAGGCTCCAGGCTCTGAGCTGTCACCACAGAGCCCAACGCAGGACTCAAAACTATGAACCGTGAGATCATGACCTGAGCCAAAGTCAGAGGCTTAACCAGCTAAGCCACCCAGATGCCCCAGGTCTAGTTCTAGTTTTTAAGTCTATGTTTCTTGCAAGAGTCTAATGCTAAAGAACATTATTTTGATAATTCATAAATTGTTTTGATAAGTAAGGTAATCATTCCCATGTAGGAATAAAGTGCTTGCAGAATTGAGGGTATCCTTTTTCTAAACAGCACTGTCATTATTTGGGAAATATTGAATCTTAAGCTATAAAAGACTTACACAATCACAAATTGTCCTTCATATTTGCCATTTTTTAGTAAAATCTTTAAGAATGAGATTTCTTAGTAATTAAAGAAAATAACCATTAGCTTTCTAAAAGAACAGGTGGCTTTGTCCTATCACAAATATAGTGGCAAGCCCTCTATTGAGAATGGATAAATGAACATTCTTTGTAAGCTCTGTGTCATACTCTAAAAATTGTCTTTGTGTAGCAGGAGAGAGGAGGGGACATTGGTATCTTCTTTTCCAAATGCATTTTGAGAACCTTGGATTTAATACACAGAGATAAAACAACAGTACAGAGAATGCTCAGTGATGTATAAATGTGCAGGAGAATCATGTTTTAAAGAATAATTTATCTTAGATTTCCTTCAGATATGTTCCTCCAGTGCAGGCAACATGATGGTTTACAGAATTTGCTGTACACAAAACTTTTCAAGAACATACCTATTGCATAAAAACAAGGAATAACTAGTTCCTGTTTTCCAAGAATACAGGTTCAAGGGGTTTTCGTCTGAAGTTATGTATTTTGGGATTTTCCAAAACTATGTAATTTTATTTGAAGTAAATGTCTCATTTAGTCCTTTCCCAACCCAAACAGGGAGAGTTCTAATAGTGTTGTGCTTGTATGATTATTAGACTTTCTTTACTTAAGTGATAACTACTATACTTTTTTTTGGCCCATGCCTTTTTAAGCTGTTTCATATTGAAAGTTGGAATATTGTACAAATTTTGTCAAAGATGTACTGTAGTGCTATTCGAAGTACCTGTAACAAAATACTTATTTACCTTTATCATTGCAAGCTTCTTGTGGAAACTTTATAGGAATGAAAGTAAACTGTATACATCCATAAGAAGATTAAACATTAGATGTTACATGATTTGCTGCATGCTAGAACTGTTGGTATTGTTGAATCAGTCACTTTGGTTTTCTGAAAAAATAAACTTTATAAATATCTTTAAGGAGATTTATTAAATTTTTTTTGTTTCGGTGATTCCAGGCTATAGCATGATTACTTCCTGAAGTAGTTTGATTGGCTGAGTTAGTGGAATTATTGTTTCTTGTTTTGTACTGCAGTAGGGCCAACAATTTTAGGACAAAATGTGTGTGTGTTGAAGGAAAGTAGATGGTGATTAAGAGTCTTGGAGAATTCAAATTTCAGAATATTTTAAAAATAAACTTTCAAATTATACAGTTTGGATTTTTTTTTTCTTTAAAAAGGGAAAATCACATAATACTGTCATAAGGTACCAATTGCCAAACACTTTCCTGGGCCCACTCCAATCCACCTTCTACACTAAATTTCCTAACATGGATATTTAATCATTTCCATTTTTACCTATTTTTTTTTAAGTTTATTTCTTTATTTTGAGAGAGAGGGGGAGAGGGAGAACCCCAAGCAGGCTCCATGCTAACAGCATGGGGCTTGAACCCCGGAACCATAAGATCGTGACCTGAGCCAAAAGGAGTGTGGGACGCTCATCTGACTGAACCACCCAGGCGCCCCAACTTATTTTTTACTTTTCCTTTTTATTACATTTCTTTGATAGCTTCTTTTTTTTTTTTAATGTGTATTTATTTTAGAGAGATTGAGCAGAGGAGGGGCAGAGAGAGAAGGAGACACAGAATCTGAAGCAGGCTCCAGACTCAGTTGTCTACACAGAGTCTGATGCGGGGCTCAAACTAATGAACCGCGAGATCATGACCTGAGCTGAAGTCGGATGCTTAACCGACTGAGCCAGCCAGGAGCCCCTGATACCTTCTTATCACCTACAAAAGGATATGTTAACTCCATTTCATGTCACATGATCTACCTGCTTAACCATTTATCCTCTGCCCGCCCTTTCCAGATTTGTACTAAAGAAATACAGAATTAGTTCCTCCCATGTATATTCTTGTCTCCATCTGGTTTACCTACTATTATTTTAAATTAGATACAGACTTTCACACTCTATTCAAAGATTAAATTTAGTTGAGCCGGATTTTATTTGGTTTTCCATAATTATGGGGAAAACTAAAGTTTAAAACTGGCTTGCAGAAAACTTTTTTTGAAATGATGAACTGATTTATTATTATTATTTTTTATTTCTAAGTAATCTCTATCCCAACATGGGGCTTGAACTCACAACCCTGACATCAAGAGTCACATGTTCTGGCTGAGCCAGCCAGGCACCCTGAAAGTATTTCAATTTACATGTTACAGAAGACAACCTATTAGAACTACAGTTTTAAGACATAGCAACAATTTCGAAGTCTAGGTAACTTATGAGAATTTTTTGTTAGAAATAACATTTTCAAGGACTACTGTTTGTTTTAGTAATCTCTACAGTGAACACAGAAGCTCAAACTCAAAGCTCTGAAATCAAGAATCCATGCTCCACCTACTGAGCCAGCCAAGCGCCCCAAGGTCTGTTTGATGGTACAGAATATCTGCTCTTTACAATCAGGGAAAGAACATTTAATTCCTATCTTGTCGAGCTTTCTGTTGCTGGTTAGAAGAGCTTAAGTTTCAGGGCTAACTGCTGGAGTTCTGTTAGCATTAGGAGGGGGAAAGAATTGAAAAGAAAAATAGTGCCATGGTATCATTAAACAAATATGGAACACATAATATTTTGCATATACATTGGCAAGTTTCTACTCATGCTTTGAGTTTGAACTTAAATGTTACAACTTCCTTCGGAAGCTTTTCTGATTTGCCTTAAACACTCCATCCCCTATGCTCGCACTGCTTTTCGTTCATAACTCTCTTGTCACTGTTGATCAGTGGTTTTTAAACTTTAGTGTGCACTGGAATCATGTAGAGGGTTTGTTAAAAGCATAGATTACTAAACTGCACCCTCAGAGTTTCTGATGTCTGGTGTTGGGCCCAGGAATTTGCACTTATGCAGGTTAGCTGTTATTGCTATATTGAGACTACTACCCTTTGAGAATCACTGAACAAAACTACATGCTTCTGGAAAGCAAGGGAATGCATCTTTTTATGTTTTCTATTTTACATATACAATATAAAACAGTATGGATATGGATAATGGTCAAATTTGAAGTTGTGTTTGGAAAGAAGGGAGGATAGGCAATCAAAAATATCCACTGCACTTAGCATAAAAAGAGATAGCCCTTAAGACAAACAACGTCAGTCTTATCTGTTCTCAGGTTACTGTTATATTTTTTTCCTTTATGCTGAAAATGCATTTTACACCTACTTCCTCCATTGCCTCTTCAGTCACTAACCTCTTAGCCCCTTTTTATCTGGGCGACAGGGATGGATTGCAAAAGTCATGAGGAAACTTTGAGGGGTGTTGAATATGCGTATTATCCTGATTTTGGTGATGGTTTCACGGACGTATGACTGAAAACGGATCAAATTTTACACTCTAAATCTGTGCATGCAGTTCATTGTATGTCAACTTATACCTCCATGAATCTGTTAAAAACAGTTAAAATTGAGCCCTGCATACCAGGCTGTTTTTGTTTTTTTTTTCACTACTGCTTTTGGCTTTTTTTTTTTTTTTTTTTTTTTTTTTAGGGTGGAGAGAACCCCCTCGTCAAGTCTCC